AGAAAAGAAAAATCCTCACAACTGGACCAGTAAGCAGTATCATGATAAATGGAGAAAAGATTGAAGTTGTTAAAGATTTTGTATTACTTGGTTCCATAATCAATACCAATGGAAGCAGCAGTCAAGACATCAGATGACATATTGCTCTGGGCAAATCTGCTGCAAAAGACCTGTTTAAAGAACAAAGATATCTCTTTGCAGACTAAGGTGCACCTAACCCAAGCCATGATATTTTCAATCGCCTCATACGCATGTGAGAGCTGGACAATAAATATAGAAGACCAAAGAAGAGTTGACGCTTTTGAGTTCTGGTGTTGGCAAAAAATACCGAGAATACCATGGACTGCCAGAACAGACAGATCTGTCCTGGAGGAAGTGCAGCCGGAATGCTTCTTGTGAGTGAGAAGGGCCAGACTTCATCTCACCTAATTTGGTCATGTTGTCAGAAGGGACCATTCCCTAGAGAAGGATGTCATGCTTGGTAAAGTGGAGGGTTGACAAAAAAAGGGGAAGGCCCTCAATGAGATGGATTGACACGGTGGCTGCAATGATGGGGTCAGGTACAGACAGCAAAGAGGGCGGCGCCGGCGCAGGACTGAGCAGGCAGCCTTTTGTTCTGTTGTGCTCGGGGTCGCTATGGGCTAGAGCTGACTCAAGAGCACCTAACAACAAGACAAGAAGTGTTGCTACAGGTAGAGGCACGATTTTCTAGGAAGATATATGATTTTAAATATTACGTGAAACTACTGAGCAGTATGCTGCTGTTTCTAATGTAACTGTTAAAATTTGTGGGGTTGATAAACTAAGGAACCACAAGGAGAAATTGACCAATACACTGTTATGGAGGAAGATTGGGAGATACTGCTACTGGAAGACTGAATTAATTGAAGTAATTGAAAAAAAGTGAAGGAATTGAAGGAGATGAAAATCAGTAAGGACACATGGCAAGGATTTGAACAGAACAGTGCTAGGCGCACAGGGAGTCTTCAGTCCAGCTCTTCCGATAAAGCCCTTGTGGAGCATCAGCTAAATGGACCACAAAGAGATAATTGCTTCAAAAAAGCTGGGATCATGTGGATGGGCGGGTCAGGTCTGTCTGTCCAGGGGGGAGTGTGCCCATCACGTTTAGGGTTGGCAAACGATGTTTCTACAAGCGTATCTGTATGTTCTGTAAGAATTCCCAGGTATATAGTAGAGCTGACAAGGGACAAGTTTGTAGTCACTTCTTGGCCACAGTCAGCTATCCAGAGGGAGCGAGTAGTTGGACCTGTGGGCTCTGGACCATAGTCTCAGGGGACATCAAGCTCAATTGGCATGACATACTACACAAAACATTGTTCCACATCCTACTTTGGTGACTAGTGACTGGGATTTCAAAAGCTTGCAAGCAGCCATGTAGATGCAACGATGGGTCTCTCCTCATCCAGAGCAAAGAAGAATGAAGAAAACCAAAGATGCATGGAAACAATTAGTCCGAGTGACTGGTACACCATGCGATCCTCAGCCTACATGACTATAAGACCAGAAAAACTAGATGGTGCCCAGCTACCACTGTCAACCACTCTGAGGGGCATCTATGTAGGAGATCCTGGATAGAGTGGGAGAGCAATGTGGAACAAAACTCAAAATCACAAAAAAAGGAACAGGTTTGCTGGTCTGATAGAGCCTGGTGAAACAGACTATGGCCCCTAGCTACCTTTCAGATCTGGAATTGAACCCATTCTTGTGGCTTCCAGCCAAACAAAAGAGAGGCATATGGGGTTAACATTAACATTAGGAAGATACACTCCTTGGAAAGATCAATCACGGGAGAATAGAAGAGCTGTGTATGCACAGGGAGACAGCTCAAGGGGCAGGAGTGCATGGAGGGAAGGACACAGGGAAGAGGTAACTATGGGGAGAAAGTGGGGAAAGAGCAGTTGCATTGTGGGAGATTTCAATCAATATCATGAGACAAAGTGTATGTGAGCTACTGTATGGAAAGTGAATTTGCTCTGTAAAGTTTCACCCTAATCACAATAAAAATTAAAAAAAAAAAAAAAAGTTGGTATCATGGAAACCACCCTCTTTCAACAAATGCAGTTAAGGTAGAAATAAGTTTAAAAAAGAACTTAAGAAAAAAGCTTATGTATTTGTAACTGAAAAATACTCTTTTAAGCGTTTTATGACCCATGAGAGAAATGATAAAGAATTATAAAAAAATTAGAAAATATTTAGAATTAAATAATGAAAATGTCAAAATTAGAGGGAAATTTATTGCCTTCTATCCTAAGATCAGAAAGGAAGATTGAAAATTAATAAGCTAAACATCAAATTGGGGAGTGCTGGTGGCACAGTGGTTAGACACTCAGCTATTAACTGAAATGTCTGTGGTTTGAATCTACCAGCTGCTCTAGAAGAGAAAGATGAGGCAGTCTGCTTCCATGAAGACTGACAGCCTTGGAGACCCTGTGGGGCAGTTCCACTCTGTCCTCTAGGGGCGCTGTGGGTCAGCATCCACTCGAGAGCAACGGGTTTCCTTAAGTATCGTATTAACAAATTACAACCTCAGCCACAAATTAAAACAAGCCCAAATAGGGGAGCAGGGAGGGACCCCCAAACAGAGCTGAAAGCAGGCAGCGCTCCGAGGGTGCTCACTGTGGGTCCAGATCCCAACCTCAGCCCCAGGTTATCAGAATGAATGACATCAGCCCAGAACTGAGGGGCCACAACTCTCGACCGAAGAGCATTTGGCACTGTTCCAAACTGCCCATTTTCTGGGAGTTGAGGAAACTGTCACTAGGCAGAGAACAGGGAGGAGCCCCCAAGAATCTTCCAGAAGCTCTGCAGCTTGCACCGATGTGCCCAAACGTGTGTGGGCCACCAGGGGTGGCAGAGGTGAGGCAGAGGGGACCCAGAGGGAGATCCAGGCATGGAGACTGAAGATAGAGGGGCCTGGCCTTCAGCCCCGCCCCTCAGACAGGCACCCACCTTCCGGGTTTTCCATCTCATTCATTCTTCATCATTCACTTGCTGACACCCCTATCCTGGGGGTACATACTCCTGGCTCATTCATTCATTCATTCATCCATCACTGTGCTAGTTGTGTGTCAACTTGGCTAGGCTTGACTTTAGTGGCTGGGCAGCTGGAGGTAGTATTCTCCATGATGAGACTGGTCATTAACTCCATGGTAGAATCTACTGTGAGCAGCTGACTTAGGGATGTGGTCTGCTTCCTGGATATAAGCAGAAGCTTTGAGGAAGGTCTGAGTTTTTTTTTGGCACATCTGGATCCTGCCTTTGGCCAGGTCTTCATCTCAGTGGCCTGACATGTTGTCTGCTGATCTTAAAATTGTTCCTGGACTTGAACCTGCCGTGTTGTGTGATAATTTGGGGACTGTGCCATTTTTGCCATTTTACTTGTTGACTTTGGGTTTGTCAGCTTTAGCAGCCATCAGCTGCCTGAGTTAGGAGATGCCTCCAGCTCTGGTGGGCCAGGAGCAAGAGGCAGAGCTGAAGCCCAAGGTTGGGGGCTTTCACCCAGCCCCTAGAGCTGACACTTTGAACTCAGACTTCTAGCCTCCTAAACTGTATGAGAATACATCCCTGTTTGTTAAAACCATCCATTTGTGCTATTTTATGCTAGAATGGCACTGGAGAACCCAAACAGTTACTCATTCCACAACAGCTCCATCCCCAGGGAGCTCACGTTTTGGTGGGAAATAGAAATCAAATCAATAAGTGCAGGTGGAGGGTGTCAGAGGGGGAGGGGGTGGCACTGGAGGGTGACCTCTGAGCAACCTCTGAGTGAGAAGGGCTGAGTGGAAGCCCATGAAGTGAGAGCACCGGGCACAGGGGAGGCTGTCTGTGCAAAGGGCCTGTGGCAGGAGGTGCCTGGAGGTCTGGGGCCAGTGAGGAGGTCAGCAGGGCTGGCTTGCAGGGACGGATTCCCATGACGGAAAGTCTGAGGAGCTGGGGACAGAGGACAGGACCGTGGCCAGCCTTGTAGGCCACCGCCAGGGGAAGGCACTGGAGGGCTCTGAGTGGAGGAAGGGCCTGATCCTGCTGCCCTTAGTGAGGTGGGGGAGGGTGGGTGTGGAGCCTGGACAGGTGTTGGGGCCAGCAGCAGGGGTGGGACAGAGGCGGGAAGTGGACCCTGGCACTGGGGAGGCGTGGAGAGGTGTGGGTCGTAAGACGTGAGCTCTGGGTAAGCCCCCGCCTGGTAGCTGAATGAGGGGGATGGAGGAGGGGCTTTCAGGTCGGCCCAGAGGCCAGAGCCAGGGGAAGGGCTGGTGACCCTCCGCCCCTAGAGCCCCTCCAGCTCTACCACAGCAGGGCAGCCCGTTACTGCTGTGCCCAGCTGCATCTGCTGCTTATGAGGCCACAGGCCCACCTGTGCATAGCCCTTGGCACGAGGCTATCTCTGGAGGCGTTGTGGGGGAGGGAGGGGCAGCGTGGCTCCTGAGGGGGTGGCTGCACCCACTGTCCTGCATCCCTCCCCACTCAGGACCAACGTGGGCGGTGCTGACAGGTCTGGAGGGGCTCACCGATCCTGGGCGTGGCTGGGCTCCCCATCCCGCAGCTGGCTGCCTGGGGTCCACCTAGCTGAAAGGGCAGGGGATGCTCACCTCTGACTGTGGGGACCGCCCCACCCCACCCCCACGGCCTCCCAGTGGGCCTCCAGGGCCTCTGAGGGCCTGGCCTGGCCATGACCCAGGGGTGCGCCTGCCCTGTCTGACTGCCCTGTCTCCAGGGCCTGGGACTGTCCCGTTATGTCTTACCTTGGACCCACCGGCTGCTTGTGAGGCTGTGCTCCCACAGGACTCCGTTCTCTCCGTCCCGGGAACCACGGTGATCAGCACGGTGCTGTCTTCCTCCTGGGCCCGGTGCTGCGGCATCCTGCTCCTGCCACCAGCAGACGCAGGGCAGCTGGAGGGCAGAGGGACGGGCGAGCCCTGGCCTCTGGCGCCCCTGGAGCCCCACCAAGCATCTCCAGGGCGAGGCGAGCCCGTTTTACAGATGCGGGGACCCGAGCCACACGGCCTGCAGGGCCAGGCTGGGAGCGGGAGAAGGTGCCCAGATAGGGCAGTGAAAATGGCAGCAATGGCCATGACGGGCACTGGGAGGCCCCACAGCCTGTCCATCCCCGTATCTGTTCCCCAAGGCCACTCACTCCTCAGCCTTTCATTCTGTGTGGGGCCTGGTCGGCCCGGGGGCCAGACTCAGAGCACAGACGCCCTGTTCACCTGCCTGTGGGGCAGAGCCATCCTGGGCCACTTGTCTGTGCCATCCCGCCTGAGGGGCTCATGCTGGGGCCCCTGGGACAGGATGGGGAGGGGTGCGTCTGGGACACCCTGGGCCAGGGGGCTGGGCCTCTCCTTTGTCCGGTCCTGTGCCTCCCTCTTCAGGCTTTCCCGTCTCTCTTCGAGGGTGACAGTGCCCCGTTCCTCATAATGGGCTGGCAAAGTTGGCCAGGGGCAGACAGAGGGCAGGATGCGGAGCCCAGGTGGCCCTCTGGGGCCCCCGTACCAGTGGTGGCATAAGGGGGTGCAGAGGAGCCGGGGGAGATGGAGGTGGATGGTGCATCCGGACCTGCCCTCGATTTGGATGAACTGAGGCTCAGGGAGCAGACTCAAGGCCTGACCTGCTGACTGGAGCCAGGGCGCGACATCCTGACAGGTCTTCAGTGTGGGGCTGGGGACACCCCGGGGGGGGCTCCTCCAGGGCTCTCAGTGGGATGCAGGGCCTGCTCTGCTGAGCATCCCCGGGGTGAGCAGGCCAGGCCTCCAGAGCCCTTCGGAGGCGCTCGGGACAAAGGGACAGAGGAGCCCGCACTGAGGCCTGGGGTCCACTGGGAGGTGGGGAAACCGACGCCACAGCGCACTCTCCCTGCTTGTCATTCAGTTCTCAGAGCCCTTGGCAGTGGGTGGTCCTGGAGCTGTGGGAAGCCCACCACCCCCCACAGCTGAGGGCACTTGGGCCCAGAGCCCGCTCACACCTGTCCTCCATAGCCCAAGAGCCAGAGAGTGGATTCCTACCTGGAGCAGTGACTTCGGGAAGCAGCCCCAGCGTGATCTAGCAGCGATCTCGCCAGCCGAGAGCAGAGAATGGGGTGGAGCATGCGACCAGGTACAAAGTCCTGTCTGGCAGCCCTACCCTGGTGGGGGGAACTGCTGGCATGTTCTCCCTCGACGGGCCACTGGCGACTGGCGGCTGGCTGGTGCGGGCAGGAGGGGGCTGGCCCGGCTGGCTGGCTATGGAGCGAAGTCCCCAGATCCTGGAACAAGATCTGCCTTTGTTTGAGAAGGGGGCGTGGGGCCTGGGCTCCAGCAAACAGGGGCAGCCCACTTCCCTAGGGCCTCCCACAGCACCATGCAAATGCTGCGGGAAGCAGCTGGTGGGTGGACCGCGTGGCTTGTCAGCTGGGGCTGTGTGCACTGTCCTCCTGGCATCACCCCACCAGGCAGGTCTACATGGGGACACTGGGGCACCCTGAGGTTAAGTGGGTGCTGGAGGGGGTGTCAGCTGAGGCCCTGGGATATCAGGAGACAGCCCTGCCCTCTCCTGAGGTGACCTCGGGCAGGTCATGGGGTCTCAGAGCCCCATCCAGGGAAAGGGCTGTGCCCTGATCACCAGAGAGAAGGGGCCCCGGGCTGATCTCTGAGAGCGGGCTCTTCTCAGCCTCCGTCATGATTGTCTCCCCAGGAGCCCACTCATACCCACCAGGGTTCATGTCCCCTAGCTATGTGATTGACTCATGCTCCGCCCACTGCCCTCCCAGTCCACCAGTGCAAATCCCTGGAACCAAATTCCTAATTCTGAAGGGATCCCCTTCCCCCAGGCCCTCCGCAGCCCCAGATCTGCACCTCCTGGGGGCCCTGCTCTTGCCTTGAGCACCGCTGGACAGTGGGTGATGCCTGCTCACACCAGGAGCCTGGCTTGGCCTGAGGGTCTGCACAGCTAGGTGTTGTCTGGGATCCTGTTCTCCTCATGCAGACCTTGAGATGAGAGTCCCAGACCAAGGATGCGCGGAGGAAGTGTCCTCAGAAACCAGGAAGGGTGAGGGGGTTGTGGAAAGAGAAAAGGAGGAAGTCAGGTGGGGTGTGACCTGTGGGACAGGGCAGAGGGAGATCAGGTTTGGTGTGACCTGGGGAACAAGGCAGGTGGACATCAGGTAGGGTGTGACCTGTGGGACAGGGCAGAGGGAGACCAGGTTTGGTGTGACCTGGGGAACAAGGCAGGTGGACATCAGGTGGGGTATGACCTGAGGGACAGGGCAGAGGGAGGCCAGGTTTGGTGTGACCCTGGGGACAGAGCAGAGGGACGTCAGGTGGGGTGTGACCTGGGGGATAGGGCAGGAGGATGTCAGGTGAGGTGGGACCTTGGGCAATGTTCTACCAAGGGAGGCCCGGCTTGATCCTGTAGGGGCTCTGGGGGGTGGGGCCCTCAGGTTCCCACTTGACACTCCTGTTCTGGCCAGTCCCTGGCAAAGGACCCTCTCCGGGCAGCACCGCTTCCCAGGGGGCCAGCTCTGCCCAAGGGCTCTCCGCCAGAGGCACAGCTTTGAAGGCCCTGAGGCAAACTCGCCCCGGCGGGAGCGGGGCGCACGCGAATGCCTGAGAGGACAGTGTCCCCCCTTCACCCTACGATTCTTTTGGTTAGATATTTGTCCAAATTGCGTGACTTACGTAGTTCAAAACGAGAAAGAGAGAGCACACTTCCCCCGGCACTGGCGTCTTCTCCATCCGGGAGCTGGAAGAGTCAGGCTGGGGCCACTGCGCCGGTGTGATTTGGCCCTAACTTTTCTGACCCATTGGCGTGACATCAAGAAATGTATTTGCTGGAAGCAAAAACTAAAAGGAACAAAACCCTGTCCAATGACTGTGGTGCAATGAGGCCCTTTTTCTCATGTCATTGAAACCGAGTAAAGTCAAAACTATTTTCCCCACCCTGGTTAAAACAGATCATTAGAACAGAGAGGACCCCCGAGGGGAATAGATAAGTAAGCTTAATTACCCTCAACTAGTTCCCCACCTGGTGCTTGGAGATAGATGAGTAAACACATAGGACCTCAGTTGGAGACAGATGAGTAAATACAATAAGCTTAGTTCCTTAAGAACTGAATGGAGAAAAAAAAAATCTTTCCTGCTATTTCCTTAGGCACAGGTGATAAACACATTAATGTGTCTTAGAAAACAACTTGAAAATTAACTCTGGCCTGTGGGCATGTGCAGTGGGACAGAGAGGACCAAAGTTACTGGGAACTAACTCTCTCCCCTGTGCCTAAGCCCCAATCAGCTGATGACAGGAAGCAGGTGTGACTCATCCGGCACACAAGCGCACTGGATCCAAATGCTACTGTCCCTTTAAACCAAGGCGAAGGAAATTTCAGCCAAGAAATTTCAGCCAATCGTCAACCATCTCCCGCCCAAATTCCTGAAATTTTTATGAATATGCATAACCCTCTCTTCTGAAACCTACAAAACTGTAATTCGATGGAGTTTTGGGGAGTCAGATCTGGGTATGGGTACCACTGCTCCTTGCATTGCCGCTTTGCAATGAATAATTTTCTCTCTTCTCAATCACTCGGTGCGTAAACTGATTGCGCAGTGGGCAGGGACCCATGTTTGGTCCTATTTCAGTGGGGGGTGAGGACACCTGTTGGTTCAGTGGCTCTGAGGAATCGGGGCCGAGTCTTTGCGACCAGCAGGCTTCTGCTGCACGGTTGCAAGCTGGCCGCTGCAAGCCCAGCCACCAAGTCCACACCCAAGACGGCAGGAAAGGGGAAGGACTGCCTCAGAGAAGCAGCGGCACTGCTGGCCGTGCATCTCCAGGCCATGGTCATAGGGCAGCCTGGAAAGGGGGACGGGTCTGTCCATTCTGATTGGTTTAGACTGGTGGTGGCTGACCCTTGGGGTGGGCACATGGCAAACTGCTGCCCACAGGGCCCTCTCCAAGCCTGTCTGCAGGTGCCAGGGCAATGCCTGATTTGTGCCCCACTCGCTCCCCAGCTGTCTCTGTCCCACCTCCACCTCCACGCTCTTCCTGCCAAGGGCCTTTGCCCCCTCCTGGTGGCCTCACTGAACATGCACCACCACATGCACCCTTGGAGGGGGGTACCCTCCCCAGATGCTGCAGCAGCATTGTGCCCCGTCCTGCCTGTCCTCTTCCCCCACCAGGACTCTCCCTCTCTTCCACTCCTCCCTCCCCTCCCCCAGACCGTGGCATCTCCAAGTTGGCCTGCGCCTTAGCCTGGACCCCATCTCTTCTGGCTCTGGACCCAGTCTCCTCTGGTGCCCTGCCTGTAAGTGTGTGACTGGACAGCCACAATGGATGTCTGTGTCCTCGCCCCTCCTCTGAAGGGTGGGGAGCCCCTGGTGGTGGCCTCTTCATGGTCTGTTGTCCTTCCTGGCCATAGACCCTAGCACAGCCACCCCGGAAAGCCTCGGTATCTTGTCATCTCAGGTGCAGCCCTCCCCTAGGGTCCCTGGCTCCACCTGCCCCCCAAGGTATTGAGACAAGGGAGGGCCATGGGGTGGAGCCCAGGGGCAGGCTAACCACTCAGGTCCCCTTGCCCTTGGTGCCCTTTGGGGGTCTGCTGACCACGTGTGTTCACTCATGTTGTTGTTGTTGTTGTTGTTGTTATGTGCCGTCGAGTCGGCCCCGACTCATAGCGACCCCTCCTTGGGTTTCCGAGGCAGTTATCACTACGGAAGTAGGATTGCCCAACCTTCCTTCCGAGGAGTGGCTGGTGGGTTTGAACCGCCAGCCGTCTGGTTAGCAGGCAAGTGTCTTAGCCACTATGCTACCAGAGCTCCCTGTTCACTCATCGTGTGGTCATTTTCTAGCCTGGGTGGCAGTGACCAGGGCGAGGATCCGAGGGGTCCTGGCTGCTCTGGCTCTGCGGGTCACGGTGGCCCATCCCCCTCCCCCCACACCGCAGGAACTCAGGATGCACAGTGTGGCTGACTGGCCTCGGAGTGCCGCCACACTCCAGGTGTGGGAGGAGCAGGGATCAGGGCCAGACCCCCGTGACAACACAGTGCAGAGGTGGCGGGAGTTCATGAGGGGGGCCAGAGAGACCGAGGGGGCACATAGGGAGTGGAGAGAGTCGCCCTGTGCACCCTGTGCCCCACAGGTGAGCCTGAAGCTTCACAAGAGTGGCAGAACTGGATTGCACCTGGTGCTGCAATCAGTCTGCAGCGAGGAATCCAATCAAGGCATCCATGACGGGCCTGGGCAGGGGCTACGGAAACATTAAGTGGCGTTGTGCTGCACAGACCCACTTCTGTGGCTGCTGTTAACAAATCTCTCCAAGCATAGTGATTTATATTGCACACATTTATTCCCTTGCAGTTTTGTATGAAGTCTGACTCAGGTCTTGCTAGGCTAAGACCACGGTGTTTGCAGGGCTGGGAGTAACTCAACAGAGAATGGACAACAATTCAATTTCTCTTTTCCTGTACATTTCAAGCCATCATCTTTAACACTTTCAGGATATTTAAAAGAAGTCAAGAGCAGCACTAACCAGTAGAACTGTCTGTGAAAATGATGGACACCGTCTGTATCCGTGTGTCCAACAGAACTTTCTGTGGTGGATGATGGACATGGTATACACCTGCCTGCCCAGGAGAACTTCTTGTGAGGGTGGACATGTTCTGTATGTCTGTACAATGGAACTTTCTATAACCATGATGGACATGGTCTATGCCATGTGTGTCATTCAATCAGGCTGCTGCATTTGCAACATGGGCAGTACTCCCATCTTGGACAGTGCAGCTCCAGACCCTGTGACTTAGAAGGGACCCTTTCTGACTGCATCACTCAATCTTCACACTTCAGAGAGAAATCTGAAGCCCTGGGAGATGGCAGCACCCTTGAAGCATGAGATTCAGAGGTCACTGCTAATTTTGTGAGAAAAGTAGCCAAAACAATGCTGGGGTGGGCTGGGAGGAGCTTTGTAACTGGTTAAGGGCATGATCTCTGGAGGAAGGCTCCCTTGGGTTCAAATTCTGCCAGTATAAAGCAGCTGTGTGATGTGGGACATCACCCCTTCCTATCCTTAGTTTTCCTCACACAAGTGGACCAATGGCTATCTCGGAGGACAGGGGTACGTCCACAGGTGCGTGGACGCTGGGCAGGGGCGCATCACAGGCACAGGAACATCGGGCAGGAGTGTGTCCACAGGTGCATGGACATCAGGCAGGGGCACGTCCACAGGTGTGTGGACACTGGGCAGGAGTGCGTCCATGGCACGTGGAGACTGCTCTTTACAAACGTCTCTGAGTGTCACAGCACAAAAGGCTGGATCATCTCATACCCAAGTTCTTATTTATTTATTTTTAAATATTTATAATATTTTCAAACATGATACCAACTGGTCTACAAGATTAAAGGGCTCTTGGCTGACATAGGTCATGCTGCTGGGATGGCCAGAAGGCCCCTGGACAGCACAGGGCATTTCCACATGCTCTCAGACCCACCGTTTCCCATGATGTAGGTGGAGCCGCGCCTCCCGGGTGACTACAAGAACCGTCCAAAACTGAGCAGGAGCACCGCACCATGCGGCCAGATTTAATAGGAACGGAATCTCAGACTGCAGGGCGGACATCATACACGTCAATTACCACTCAGTGCCTTTATTGCCATTGGGCTGTGACTGTTGGTGGAGTGATGATTTCAGGAGCAATAGGTGGATTAAAAAACCGTGGCTGGGAAGGTCCTTTGAGGAGAGGGAGCAGTGACGAGCAGAGACTCAGAACCTGACGAAGGTGGCGTCGATCTGCCGCACAGTAGGGAGGGCCAGCATGATCTTCCTCCGGTACTGGGGGTCCTTCTGCAGGGGATTCCGCTCCAGGTACACTGTTTCCAGGCTCCTGGCACCCTTCAGCTCATCCAGGTCACTCCAGCTCTCAATGAGGTTGTCGTTCATCTGGAAGGACAAACAGACACACACATGCACACACACATTAGAAAAAAACTTCCAGCAGAAAAGACCTGCACGTTAGCCCCATGGATCCCAAGTCTGAGAACGAGGCTCTGGAGCACCACCACAGACCCTGTCCACCACTCAATGCAACATGCCTGCTCATGCCCAGAACCCAAGCCATGTCACCACACCATGAGCAAATCCCAGTTAAGATCAGCAGAGGAAAAAACAACACTGATGACAAGACCTCCTTCATCTTCCTGGCCAAGTGTTATAACAGGTCTGCTGATACCCCTGCAGACCAGTTCTCAGTAAGTGCTCTCAAGGCCAGGATGACCTGCTGTGACTGGACCTAAAGGGAGGAGCAGAGCGTGAGCTTGCTTCACGGAGGTCTCTAGCGGTAGAGGGCCCACAGGTCCCACGGTGCACACTCACCACTGTGTGAGGGCACCAAAAGGGAGGTGCATGACCTGAAGACAGTGGCCAGACCAGGTCTGAGGAGGGGCAGGAAAGGCAGGCTGGAGGAGGAGGCAGAGTTCGAAGAGGTGGCTAGGTGGAGGGCCTATGAATCTCACTGAGGGGCAGGGAAGGCACACAGGGAGGGAAGGAAGGAAGCTGACGATGGGAGGCTGAGAGGTGGCCAGGTGGATGTCCAGGAGGGGGAGCTGGGTGTGGCCAGTGACCACAGTGGATTGGCAGTGGTGGTAGCGGAGCCAGTTTTGCATGCAGCCCCTCAGTGCAGACGCAGCAGCACAGATCTGGGGCCCACCATCCAGTTCTGGGTCCTGCATGCCTCTCTCTTGTATGTAATATGGTTGGCATGGTGTCCAAATCACGTAACATCAGATCTCAAGGCCATCCTGGATGTTAACTGACATGTACCTGTGCTGTCAGTTGCTGACTTTACTGTATAAATCCATCTTCTCGCCTTCGACTCCTTGGAGCGCTTGGTTTTATTTTGCAGACTGAGCGTATACCCAGTTTCAACTGTTTTCAAGCCTTCAATATACCTTGTTCCTTTTAACAGAGTGCAAGTTTTTACTGTTAGGCTTTTTCTGGGATAAGGTATGTGGGGTTCAAACGTGTGTAATCTTCAGTGGCCCCCAGGACATCGTTGAGCTGTCCCAGGTAACAGCCTCTCAAATAGCTCTCAAAGAGCTCTGTCTTCCTGCACTGAGGTCTCTGACATTTACGGGTGGGGTCCGTCTTCCTGCACCAAGGTTTCTGAGGTTTATGGCTGGGCTCCACCGTCCTGCCTTTCATTTTCAGCTCATGCTCTGAACCTTCTGATGAATTTGTTGCCAAATTAAGTTTGGTGTGGCTGTGACCATGATTCTCTCAGATCTAATAAGAGCTGTGGGAGAAATGAGGCTGAGCTGTTAAATGTGGACTTGCTTTTCTTCTTGAGCACATTTGGTTTCAGCATGCTCTCAGGCCTCAGTGCACATGAACATTTCCCGTCATTCATGTTTTCACAGCATGTGTATTCAGTGTTTCGGTAAAATGGGAAGACCTGCTTTAGGACTCAGCAGGGCCATCTTAGCACCTTAGGGCCTTTATGAGCAAATGTTTTGGTCCCCATACTTGGTTGTTTTTAGATCACTAGCATGCTTTTACTAAAGACAGTTTGGAGAACCGGTGGTCACTCTAGGATTCTTTGGAATATTCCTGCACAGTAAATTAGAAAATAGAAGTGCCTGAATTAAGCAACCTCAGTGGGATGCCTATTTTAACTGGTACTTTGAAACTTCTAAAAGATATATGATGAATAAAATTTATTCTCTGCAGGATACTGTATCCAAACTAACAAAACAAAATAAGGAGCTGCGATGTCAAAGCCCTGGTCCTACTCTATCTGCCCCTTTAAAATTCATCCTAGTATGATGTTGAAGGTTCTTTCCAATCAGAGAAACTAGTATGTTTAAAGTAAAAGGCTAGGTCTCTGGTCAGCAGAATAAAGGCGGCTCAGAAGATGTGAAACGAGGTTCTGTATGGCTATTATGCAGGAATTCCAGAGGACCAATGCCCTGCTAGGAATTGTATTTGATTCTGGTCACCAAAGTTCCACCCTAATTTTTAACATCCTTGATAAATGAGCCTGGAACTTTCCCCCTACTGGGATGTTGGTTTGGGGTTCCAGTTCTTAAACTGGATATACTAGAAATAACTTAGAATTTCAGCGATCATTTTGAGAAATGAGTTTCCATCTGTACTTTCTCCTCCTGTTTTAGGAACATGAGTTCCCATTTGTGTTTTTTTCTTTCCTCTGGAAACTTGTTTTTAATGCCCAGGTTTTGTCAGAGGACCTAACTTCTCCCCATCAGAGACTCTGGCAACATTTAACCTGTTTGCTGTTGTTGTTAACTGAGTCCATCTCATCCAAGAATTTTAGGTCCATTTAAAGAAATTGGGTTTCTTTTTGTTTGTCTTGTATAATGTTGAACATAAGCCTGGACTTTTGAGCTGGCTTTGCAGACTGGTAAGTTTATGTAGTCTTTCTGCCTTGTTTTGTGTCTGAGATTCTGTCTTGTTGTAGGAAGTTACAATTAGTAGTTGCCAGATTTCTTTTTTCTCTCTCATAAGGTTGTCTAAGTCTGAGAAAAACTTCTTGTCCCTGGCGTTTTGGCAACTACTCTGATAAACTTTGACTAATTTGGTCTATTTGAAAGGGGCACTGAAAAAAGGAAAAAAAAATTATTCTTTTATTGGTAGAACAAGGCCTTAAAGACACAAATTATTCTAAATTGCTCCTCTAAAGGATCCTATAAAGCATACAAAAAACAGGATTGTGAAAATATAATAATTTCCTACCTCCAGATGGTATTATTAAATTAGATTATATTTCCTGAAAGAACTTGCTCTAATTATTTTAAGGATAAATAAACACTTATATAAATTAAATACTCCTAATTTTCCCAAAAATTAATGAAAATAACTTGCTCTGACAATAGATTTTATGTTTAGGTCAAACTTGAAAGCAAAATCTTAAAAGCAAAACCTTTCTAAATTTTTTCTTAAATTTTCTATCATATGAAATAGGTTTTATTTAAAGAAAGGAAGTAATTTTTATTAATTCCAGAATGATAAGAAATAGGAGGCTCACAGGATTGAGAGAATTCAGACTTCCATCTAACAGCTTCCTGAGACCCCAGCACTGAGAGCACCCAATGCGAACAAGAGAAACAAAGTGAAAACCCCTTTAAGATGACTAAGGTTAAATGGCCTTGAAGAGACTTTAGAGGGACTCCCTAGAATTCTCTGCAAACTGCCTCCACCAAGGTAATCGAGCAGCTGCACAGTCAACGTAAACATATGTAACTGAATTAAGAATAACATTTCTTTCTCACTAAGGAGACCCTGAGATTCACACTACTCCAGGGAAACTTGAGAAAGACCTCTCTCAACTAAGTGGAAACTTTTTAAGGCAAAACAAAATAAGATGCTACATTACTGTAGTTATTAAAAAAAAAAAAAAAAGGTAGATCCCTATCATAAAAAGAACTGTAAACAAGTTCTCTCTGTTTTAGAAGAGTTCTAAGAAGCCAAAGTGTAGAAACCACCACAACCTACACTGAAAACAAAATGGTAAAGGCTGAGTAATATACAGACTGAGGAATATACAGACTGAGCAATATAATATACAGTAATATACAGGCTGAGTAATATACAGACTGTTTAAAAAAACTTTATTACAAAGGTGATTATGTTTTATAGCATATAGGCTTAAAATAACTTCCAATATTTTTAGGTAACAAAGATATTGAGTCAATATTCACTATAATGTAAGTTTATATACTTAAGCTTTTTATGCCACAAAGAAAGAATATATATTTTTGGGTTTACTAATGAGTATGTTAATTTTTACCACATAAAGGCTTGCAGTATAGGAGGTATGCAACAAAGACAATGTTTAAAAGGCTTATTAAAAGGGAACTTATTTGATATATTCAAGGTTTTTTATCTGCTGCTGTTAAAGTTTGATGATATTTTTAGAAAGCTTGAATGTCAAATAGCATATAGAGCAAAGAATTGGGCTTCTCACAGTTAAAATAACAATATTTTCTTTAATTACTGGGTTGAAAAGTTAATTTATTCTTTATGTCATCTGCCTCAAAGGCAAGGGTTCAGTGTCTTATTAGAATGAAATTCTGAGTTGAAAATTAAGTCATATGTCTTTTTAAAACAGCTGAAGTTTTTTTTAAATAAATCTTTAAGATTTTTTTTGTTAAACAATTCAATTATTGTTTCTCAATGACCTATGATAAACTCCTGACAACTCTGAAACTTTCTAGAAACCACAAAAAATGTGTTTTATGTTTTATAAAGAGAGAAATGTGAGAAAAGTTTGTTTAATATGTTATGAGTTCCATGAAATGTCTTATCAAATCAAGAGAAGTGCCTGATTCTCTTTGGCTGAAAAGTTATGTGTTAATATTTCCTCTTATGTTTTTGCTTAATATTAGATATCAAGCACACATTATTATGTCATTTTAAAATTTTATCTTTAACTGCTAACTTGGTTGCAACTTTATTTCTTTTGAATCTAGTATCATCACATCAATGGTTTTAACTGGGGAATTCACATCTTTTACCCATGAAATTTTTAATATATAATATACATATGTTTAGAGACCTGATGATATCGGTAGATTCTTGACATATCCTGACTACACGGTCTCCAGATGATTATATATCTAAAATTCTTTTAAAATAAGGTTATTCCTTATGTTTAGAGGTATTTTTTCTCAAGTCTTCTTTGAATTTACTTTAGTTGGCCTTGCATTACTTTTGTAATTAACTCCTATCAGCTCTTCCACCTTTAAGAAGCCTTATTATTGTTATTATAAGGTAATCATGGCCATATGAAGTTTGTCATCTGCAGATAAGTTTTACTTTGCTGATTCACTAGTAACATTTGGACAAGATATTCCAACACAAAGAACTATACTGGACTTATGAAGAGAAGTATAATATTTCAAATATGGGTACCAATGGATTAAATA